GACGCACTGTGGTTTGTATGATTTCAAATAAAACCTAATAACGCTTGAGGCCATGTCTTATATCCTCGCCATTAATTTTATTCTCATCATTGCTTTACCACCGAACTTCCTATCCTCGGGTCGGTTCCTCTACTTTGCTCAGCTTTTCACAATCGATTTATTGCCCTTTTCTTTTTTGTGGGAAAATGCTGGTTGGCGCTTCGGCTCCTTTTAATTAGCTATTACTGCGGAGCGTGCCGCAAATTTCGATTTTAAGAATATGTTCAATTTTCTCTTTTCATTGTTTGTAACTCTCGTATTACGGATTGTTGACCTGTTTTTTATTTGATCTCACAGTGTGTACAACACGTGATTCTCCTGGCCATTTATATGTCGACAACTTAACGAAAATTAAATTTTCTAATTTTCATTGTTAGTCCGACATGCCCTTCGGTGATGTTGTTATTTATTGTGACGGTGCTGCTTCGTCCGTTTCTTGAATGTTTAGTTTCTATATTTGACGACGACCTTGAGGCTTTTTTCGGTACGAATTCAGTGACGAGCACTTCTTTCTCCGCGACTATATATCAATGCCATACGCAGTTGCTAGGGTTTTCATTATTTAAGATAGGTCACTACGCGGATACCAGCCTATCGCCTCAATAAACGTGGTACTTGCATCGAGAACGTTCATTCTGAAACACGGTATTTTCTCCAGAAGCACTTGTCTTTGAGTGCTCACAAAGACTGAGAGTTCAAATATATCGGTGGGGCAATTCTTGCTTTGGAATAATCAACAGATAATTGTTATTGTAACTTAGGATTCTCGATATATAATGTCACTATCAACATCTTAACAACAACCACTATTTAACAAATGAGGGTATGGAGAGGAAGAGATTTATGGTTCTTAGCTTTTCTGAATTTAGTGCTCGTGCTACCGTAATCCATTAGAGAACCTTTAATTAATGATCATAGAACAATTATTCCTTATTTTTTTAATCTAAAAAGATTTATCGGAATACTGTGCCTGTATTAGATTATTAGCTCCTCTCATGTTAGGGAGCTTAGTGAAAACAACAAATACCTGCAACAAATAGCAAATTGGTCCCAGAAGAAGAAGTAAGAAAGAGATTTACTTCTAATAGGCCTGTTCTTAAATATGTGCCGGATGGCCAGAACAGGCATATGACTAATACCAACACATATGCTCATATGGTGTGAAATTTCTCTGTTGATGTATACTTTCAATCTTATTTTCATTATCACTAAATTTGCACTCGCAGTTGTTATCAGCCACCTGGTTACTGTAAAAGCATAGTTATAGCAACTTCTTGGTCAATCTGGAATGAGTCTTATAAGTTCTTATCGCGAGCAACAAACTAGGATTCCAGCGCTCAGATTCAAATGTCTTCTACAAAACTATGTCATAGGACGCAAATTCAAAAGTAACACACATTTATGCTTAATTATAGACTAAAGGAATAAGCTTTATAACAGCTACACGATTTTATTTTTTACTTGGTCTTTATAATATACACAAGTTGAGCCCAAGTAAGTATATGTGACTAACGTAGTCACCATGAAGGCATTATAAATATTCTTAATGACCACGTCAACAGATTTAAACTTCTAATTTTTAATAACTTTGTTTTTTGGTGTGTGTTATAGTTCTTCACTTTAGGTCTAGAAAACAAGTAATCTCTCCAATCAATATGAACATCTAAGTGATCAACAATACTTCATCACTTATAATATCGTAAACTAAGAAGCAAAACACTATCATAAATTAAACCAAAACCGACCAACATTAAAAGTCTTACGATGACTAGGTACTAATCACATTACTGGAATAATTGAGTGGGAGGCCGAGTCGCATTTATCCCTTTTAAGACTTAAAATGAAGCAATGCAAACCTCTTTGAAGCATTGTTTTCCCAGACATTGCAAAACTACATCATAGACAAGAGTGTAATTCTGACTTACTAAAGTGTGACCAGTATTGATTATAGCTATTATACGATCGCAACTGTTATATGATAATCCGCATACCGGGGACGACTAACCGCGATACTCCCAGAATAAGGTTTTTGCATGCCCAGTACGGGAATCGTCAAAAAGGGACATTTGCACAATTTCGACCTTTGGCTAGGTCGACATTGTAATGATCGTGCCCTTGAATCAAAAGTCCTTTTAATCACGACGCCCCTTGGAAACCATTAAGTAGTCGGGGTTCACTAATATCGCGACTATTCTCATTGGTAAAGGCTAAATACAATTCTAATCATAAACGGGTTACTGACGTACTAGAGTACAAAAGGTTAATTATCCGAGCACGTCCCCAGACGAGTAAAGCGGACGACTAAATACATCGGCAGCCTTGACCCCCTCCGCGCATACTGATCCAGCTGACACGCTCACAATAAAATAATGCATTAAATGCATAATCGCGGTCAATCATTTCTTCTGTCTTCTCTTGCTCCCAATAGTCTTTTAAGACACATTCAGCTACCATGTCAACACCGCACACCTTCAAGGTCACTTCATCGGTTAAACTGCTACATGAATCTTCTTCTCCACTCATCACACGCTAAACAGTTGTAAATGCAGACTCAGAGAAATGACCTGCTAGCGCACAAGCTACTCGTCGAAATTATCATTCTTCCTTCTACTAACCACTAATAATGGACTAATTTTAAACGCGATGAGGTAATTATATCTAATCTTATATCCACTGTGCTTTAAGAAATACTTACGTTATTATCTCTCCACTTAAGTAACAGTCACTCATGGAACTGAGACTCGTGCTTCGTTATCATTCGTGAGGCAAGGCAAAATCTGGGCAGAGGCAGTTAAATCAGGGAAACTCAAAATTCGCACTCACTTCGTTAACTTCTGCTTACATGTGCAATGGAGAAAAAAATCAAACCGCATCTCTCAAAAAGCAAACCAAAGAATCAGCATCAGAAGCGGTTAGAAAGCGATCTCTGCAACGGCCGCGAATATTTAATCTCATTGGACTTGTGTATTTTATATTTAGCCAGGGAGACAAGATAGGTCTGGACGCGACGAGCGAGAGTCGTGGCCACTTTCAAGTTGTTTTAGTTAAATTAGTTAGATATCCAAAATAAATAAGATAAATACAAATT